TGGAATAGACAGATATAATTAGATAATCTAAGTCTATCTAATAATATAGATCATCTTGATTCTTGAATCATTCATAATTTCATTGACTGTTATTAGATCTAGTGTTATTCACTGTTAACGAATCAGTCGAATGGACTAGACTAGATCTTGGACTAGAATGATTATAGAATGTCTAGAAATTCTAGATTCTACAATTCTAGATCTATTCTAATCAATATTTTTAAAAGATCTAGTATCTAGATCTAGTTATTACAGTTTTATTACAGTATATCATATATGTATAGAATAGTGAATAGTATAGATCTATAATCTCTAGTGAGAGTCTAGTGTCAGTCTATATCTATTATAATTAATATAATTTAATAATAATTTAAATAATCTAGTGACTAGTCTTAAGTCTACACTCTGACTAGTGTGACTGTACCGACTACCGAGTCAATGTGACTTTCTACAATTTTAAAAAACTTACTGTACTGTAAATAATGTAGCCTTTTAATGTAGATTTAGATTCCGGGTTAAGAAAATAAAGTGCCAAATGAATTAACTCAGAAATCTTTTATTAATAATTGATCTATTATTACACTCGACATGTTCTCGTTTAACATAGATCTAGAACTGAGTCTGAGAGTCATCTTTTTACGTCACTTCATTGTTTATTTCCTGACGAGATGGGAAGGCGTGTTCTGATGGGGAAATCTTAAAAAGAGTGATTTCAAATGAATTGAATCGCTAGTTGAATCGGTATAAGTATGTGCAATGTAGTCTAGATCTAGACTCTAGAAAGATATTTCAGTCGTGTATTCATTACAAAAATTACATATATATTCTGTCTAGATATAGACCTAGATACTCCTTATTATGCCTTATAACTTATAAACTAGATCTCATGGGCGTGGCTAGGATTTTTTTCGGGGAGGGAGTGATTTTTTTTCCCTTAACAAACACACAGAGGCTTATCTTATCTTATATAATAAAGACGTTACTTCAAAAAAGAAGATGATTACGTCCTACGTGTCATGCATTTAGTCATGCATATTAACTTAAATTCTGCCAAGTCACTGGTTTTTCTGGCTAGCTCAGGCAACCCATTCCATGCTCTAATAGCACTAGGGAAGAAGGAGTATTTGTACAAATTTGTCCTAGCATATGGGACGAGGTATGTGCCTTTATTTTTGTGTCTTTCAGAGTATTTTATTAAATTTTGTTTTTGTATTTGAAGATTATGGTTCAGTGCTTTATGTATAATTGCTACTTTACTTTTGAGTCTTCTGTTCTGAAGGCTTTCTAAATTTAGTGATTTTACTAATGGTGTTACCCTAGTCAAATGTGAATATTCGTTTGTTATGAATCTCACTGCTCTATTTTGTGTTTGTTCCAGTTTCTTAATGTTTTCTTGAGTTGAGGGCTATTTGAGCATGGAATGGGTTGCCTGAGCTAGCCAGAAAAACCAGTGACTTGGCAGAATTTAAGTTAATATGCATGACACGTAGGACGTAATCATCTTCTTTTTTGAAGTAACGTCTGTATTATATAAGATAAGATAAGCCTCTGTGTGTTTGTTAAGGGAAAAAAATCACTCCCTTCCCGAAAAAAAATCCTAGCCACGCCAATGAGATCTAGTTTATAAGTTATAAGGCATAATAAGGAGTATCTAGGTCTATATCTAGACAGAATATATATGTAATTTTTGTAATGAATACACGACTGTGGATGCATATTCTATTATTAGCCTAACCAAGGTTAAATAACATTTTAGTTTTAAGTTCTTATTTGATTTATTGAAATTTCTTTTAATAAACCCTAATGCTTTGTTTGATTTTTTTTTATAGTTTTATCAATATGTGGATTCCATGACAGTTTTTCATTTATTATAACACCTAGGTATTTTGCGTTTTTTAGTCTGTGTTACTGGTTTGCCGTGAATAAGAAAATGGGAATTAATTGGTTTTAGTTTTTTTTGTTACTCTTAACAACTGACATTTTTCTGGGTGGAAAGTCATGCTCCAATTTGATTCCCATTTCTGTAATTCATCTAATTCTCTTTGTAAAATATCTGTGTCTTGTGTTGTTTTTATTGTTCTATATATTATGCAATCGTCTGCAAATAATCTGACTTTTGTTCCTGAACTAATGCAATTTGGTAAATCATTTATGTAAATTAAAAATAGTAGTGGACCCAAGACTGTTCCTTGAGGTACACCTGAGTTTACTGTTATTGGTGTTGATTTAGAGCCATATATTATTACAGTTTGTTCTTTCCCTATCAGAAAATCTTTAATCCACTGATGCAGTGGGCCATTAATGTCGAAATATTTTAATTTTTTAAGCAAACTATGGTGGTGAACTTTGTCAAAAGCCTTGGAAAAATCTAGTAAGATAGCATCTATTTGTTCACTATTATCTAAACCTTTTGAAAAATCATCAATTAGTCCTATTAGTTGTGTTTCACATGATCTATATTTCCTAAAGCCATGTTGGTATGGGGTGAGGACATTATGTTTGTCTAATTGGTTTGTGATGTTGCTACATATTATGTGTTATAGGATTTTACATGTGATGCTGGTAAGTGATACTGGTCTGTAGTTTCCTGGATCAGATTTTTCTCCTTTTTTAAATAGGGGGGTGACATTAGCTTCTTTCCAGTCCTCTGGTACTCTGCCCTGGTTAAGCGATGCCTGAATGTTTGTTTGTTTGTAAAATGTTTTACATGTTTCGGATGTTCCTTCAGAGTTGAAGATAGTTTACTTCCTAGTCCAAACCTCCCGCAGGAGACGGGGGATGGGAGCGGGCAGGGTTTGAACCTGGGACCATCGATAAATCCGAACGACAGTCCAGCGTGCAAACCGCACGACCAGGCAGCCATGAAAGAGTATTTTGAACACTGGGCTAGCTCATTGCTTAGTTCTTTGAGTAATCTAGCTGGAATACCATCAGGTCCAGATGTTGGCTAATAGTTTTTTAATTCCATTTTCTTGTACTACTAAATCTTCTATATTGTCTACTTGGTTCAAATTAAGAAATATGTCTTTGTCTCCTGGGGCTGAGAATGCTGATGCAAAGTATTTGTTTAGGATGTTTGCTTTAGTTTCATTATCATTATGTATTATGTTATGTTCATCTTTTAATGGCGCTATGTCTGTTGTTTCCATTTTCTTAGACTTAATGTATGACCATAGGTTTTTGTTGTCATATTTAGATATTACATTGTTTATGTATTCACTCTGCAGCTGTCTGCTTACTTTTTGGGTTAGGTGTTTAATTTTTATATACTTTTTGTAAACTCTTTCTGCCTTGGTTTCTTTAAATTTTCTATATAGGTTTTCCTTCTGTTTACAATGCTTCTTTAGTCTATTATTAAACCAGCATTTATTTATTTTGTTTGATGTGTAATTAGTTGATATATGATTTTCTATAATGCTTTTAAGATGGTTTTTAATGAAATTCCAGAGGTCATCGACTGGTTGGTTAATGTCTTTTTCTAATAAGAACGTTTGTTGAAAGTTTAATGCAGCTTGGTGTAGTTGTGTTAGGTTACATTTATTCCAGAGTAAGATTTTTCTTTTGGGTTTTGAATTGGCTACTGCTTTTATCTGACTGTGTATTTTTATATCTCATGGTGTGATAGACCAGGGATAATATCATAATCAACTACTAATCCAGGTCCTTAGCTAGCAATGTGTGGGTGTTATGGGGCATCGAACTGGTAAAACTTTGCCCTTTGCGGAACATTCTTCAAAGGGGGCTTTCGATTGGAAGTTTTACCGTTTAATGTCTGTTAGTTTATTGCGGGAATCTGATAAGCATGTTAAGTCAATAATTTATTATCAAGTACACCCTTTTTATAGCTTATAACCTTAGATGAAGCGAAAGCTTAAAATAGATAATAGTCTTTATTTTATAGACCTATTATTGAAATCTAGGTCTAAATCTTAAGTTAGGCCTATGTAGATAAGAGTATAAGGATTACTAACTCAAGAAAAAAAAATCTAGACCCTCCCAGCCCAAAAAGTAAATAGACTGTGTGTCAGACTGATTTTAACAGCCTGGTCTGTCAGACGTAGGCACTACTTTGGTAACTAGATCTAACTATTATTCTGGATCTATCTCTTTTATGAAATTTTCAACTTTACTGTAAGATTTTCCGTTATATAATATTATTTATAAAAAGCCTAATAATTTGAAAAAAAAAGTACCCTTCTTTTCTAAAGGTTTTAATTCAAGACAAAAATACAAGCACACATATTGTGTGTCTCTGTAATCTTGTTTATTATATATTTGTTGTGCAACTACGTTTAGGCCTTTGTCTTTGTAAGAAACATTTTGTCCTTATTACTGATTTTATTATGGAGAAAGTTTTCTACAGTGATAAAACGCATTCATGTGTCAATCTAGTATGGCATGGTAATCAAAGACTAAAACTCTGCTAAGTCGTAGATTTTTCTTGCTGATTCAGGCAACCCATTCCATTTTCAAATTGCGCTAGGGAAGGAGTATTTGTACAAATTTGTTGTAGCATAAGGAATAATAAATGTACCTCAACCTATTTCATTAGGTTTTGATTTTCTATTTGTAAATTATGATTTAGTGTTTTATGTATTATAGCTACTTTACTTTTTATTCTTCTTACTCAATCTATTATATATATATATATATATATATATATATAGGCCTATATGAAACAGTTTTGTATCAACTTTATTGTAATCTACTTTGTGGCGTTTACGCTGATATAATAAAATATTTGTGTGAATAGTTGTAATGTCTACTAGTCGAAATAATTAACTGAGAAAATGTGAAAAATATAGGTAAAATAATTAGATATGTGTATTTTTCCTTCCAAGAATGTTTCTTGTTCATACTTATGTCAGACCTATATCCCTGATGATGGCCTTGTAAGACCATCAAATTTATATACATAGTTGAAATTGTACTTAATCTTGTATGCTGCTTTTAACTCTGTTCTGTGACCACAAGTTAAAAATATATCGACAATGCTATCATAAATTTATCATGTGTTTTATTTCATAGATACAAATTGGACCAATTAAAATAAAAAAAGCATTTAACTGTAAAACAAAAAAAATAAAAGGCACAAAATATTTTAATAAAAAAAGAAAGCACAAGTAAATTTGATCATTAAATGTGTGTATTGAATGACTACACCCTAGTCTTGTCTAGGAATTGTGAGTCAATGACTACATTCTATTTAGGACTTACACATACTATCTCATTCATAAGTAAATGTAATACACCAATCTGCTATCTAAATACACATTTTGTATTAAACTTAAAACTAAAAGCAACAACATTAAAATAAAATACCCCTCCCCCCTTTTAAAGTTGAAACTTTTGTTCAAACATTTGTTCTATTTAATGAATAATAATCTTTTAGTCAATCTGGGTACAAGTAAATGAAACATGGCAGACATAAAAATATCACTTTTTGAATAAAACAAATACTGGGAACTTTATGTACATACATCAAATGTACACTTTTACATTATATACATTTAGAGAGAAAACAACATTTACAAATATCAGATAAGGTTTCAGAATTGAATGAAGCCATGTAGAGCAGCTAGAGAGGTGCAGTAATGATACTTTTTCAATGTATTCCCAATGTCTTAATAATCAAAGAATCCAGATGGCACATAAAATGTACAAGGTTCAAATGTTGTGTTTTATATTTTTGTACGCAAGTTGATCTATTACTGGAATTTTTTTTTGTCTTTTTGCTATCATCAATGTATTCATTTTTTTTTTTGCTTGCAAAAAGTGAAAACTAAAAGTTAATATAATTTTCATGAATATTATTGGTAAGCATGGTAAACCATGTCTAATTTGTTTGTCTTTTGATGGAACCACATGTAGAACTGCTGCTGCCTCCTACTGACTACAACCATCACAGACTTTTTATTTACAGTTTTGCTCCAAACACACAGCAGATTGAGCAGCTGTAGTTTAATTTCAGGGCAATAATAATTGACATATGTTGAATACAATGAAATGCAACAAACTATGTAGCTTTGATTTACATACATATCAGGGATTTCAATGAAAAACACTAGAATCAGGCTATACATTTCATCACAATGGATATCAAAGACAATGTACTATAACAGGAGTCTGTACAAATAGTATTACATCGCTCAGTTCTTTAAAAAAAAAATAACTCAGAACATTAGTAGCATTATGGTCTCCATAGTAACAATGGACATTTAATACCACTAGACACAAAAGGGCTGCTTTGTTGTTAGTGATTTTAGTAATTAATAATTTAAGTAATTACAAATCTATGATCTACATAGTGTTAAGTTTCAAAATACAAAACTCTCATAAACAAAGTAATTACAACTAAGTTCTATATAGTGTTGATATAAAGTTGATTTTTATCCAAATGACAAATGGGTTTTGATCATTTAAATGATTATAACTAAAAAAAAAAAAATAATCAAACTCAATGCATCTATCTCAGTAATTATAAAATAACTTATGTTTCAAACACACAAAAGTGTTTCATTAGTTGGACAGCTTCCCTAATTAAGTCTCAAAATCCTAAATAAATTCTGCAAGAAATATCTGAGACAAAGTTGGTCAAGGAGACATCTGCCTTTCCCCAAAGCTTAACCTAACAGTAAATGTAGATACAACATAAATATAAAGTATATGTAAGTATAAATATATTGTTTATAGATAATAAATTAATAGAATACTCAGTCATTCTACATAAAGTATAGCTACCAATTAATTTAAGATTAAAAAAAAAAAAAATTCAATTAAAACCTAGTTTACTTCATTAGGTAAAACAAATTTAAACAAATACATTTTCTTTTCTTATTAGCAATGTAACTGTTTAAGTAGGCTGTAATATAGATATAAATTAAATTTAAATTTATCTTAGTATTTTAAGAACATCAGCTTTTTTCACCATCATCATTATCATCGTTTTCATCATCCTCTTCATCCTCCACAGCCATCACTACATGGTAATCTTCTGCCTCATTTTCAACAGCCCCACTTTCATCATCTTCATCTTCTTCCATCTCCTCATCATCTTCACATTCATCTAATGGTTGGCCTGAGTCTGAAAGTCAAAATAGTTTGTAAGTCATATTACTACGCTCAAATAAAGATTGTTAATGGTTACAATTTATAAAATCAAACTGAAAGTAAAAGTGATACTTTTGATTTAAATCCAAAAAGTGTGCATGTGTCAGGGATAGGGCATCATAATATGGGTCCAATTCAAGTCAGTAGTCTATAACAGAGAACATAGCCATGCGCAGAATGAAGAAGGTTCCAGAGATAGAAGCAAAGAGGGCCAATTCAATTCAGTGTAACAGATAGAAGCAAAGAGAGCCATTTCAATTCAGTGCAACAGATATTAGAAATCACGGGTTAAAAATATGTTAGGGGTATTGTTGAAGTGCAGCCAATTTATTGGAAGTTGTAAATAAAAAAAAAAGGATGTTCCATCTTAAAAAAAACAGTATATAGCCTGGGAAAAAATCAACAGGCAAAGTCAGTGTGCGATGTTTATGTATCTAGTATATAAGATCCTTGGCCCTGATGACTCCATCATTGACTGATAATAACTTGATAATTGTCAAGAATGAATGAGAGGGATTATCCTTAATTCAAAGTGATTATCAAAATGTGTTGTTTTTTTAAAACCAAGAACACTGTGTGTGTGGGTAGAAAAATTTGAAACAGAACGACTTTAGTTAATGATAATGTGCAACACATTATGAAGAATAAAGAATAATTATAAACAATGACTAAATTTAGATCTAAAAATAGGCCTTTATTCAAAAATTGTTACAGTGTATGTGCATGTTTTTTTTAGGGGGGATTGGTGTATAAAATGGTTTGTGAATATGGGTTATTCTAAATAAGTAGCCTCTCTAGATCCAGATCCATGACTGACAAAATAAAAATAATTATGTAAAGAGTAGACGGTGATATTTCTTCTTTCAAACTGTTCCGTGGGCATTTCTTTTGAAAATATTGTGTGTACATGTGGGGGAAATTATAGCGAGGGGAGATGGCCCCAAAAAAAGTGTTGTTGGGGGAGGGGCATTTCATTAAAAATAGTGTGTGTGTGTGTGTGGGGGGGGGTTATAATGTAGGCAGACAAAAAAGCTACAACAGATGGGCCTAAGAAATGTTTGTTCTTACTCAATATTAAGGGGTTGCGCATTGTTGGACTGAAAGTTGAAAAAAAATAAATAAATAAAAGGAGACATATAATTTGAGGGCTAGAAAATCGTGTTCTTTGAAATTCAAGGACAGACGTTCCATTGGAATATACAAGGGTCTAAATGTCTGTTGTTGGGGGAGGTACGCTTCATTTGAAAATGGGGGAGGGGGGCATTATAAAGCAGGCTGATGAGAAGGCTACAACTGATGGGCTTAAGAAGTGTTTGTGCATACTCTATAGTAGGGGGTTGCAGGCATTTTGTAGGATGAAAGTTTCACTCAGTCATGCTATTACATCAGTCCAGATTGGTACTGTGTGTCCAGAGTGAAGCATTACAAGTCCAGGATGAGACAGAGAGACCAGTATAGAGTTTTTTATGGTTATGTTTATTTATATGCCTGATACACAGGTCCATAGTAAGAAAAAAATATTGGCTCTGGAATTAAGCATTGAATTATAAGGCTTGTCTTCAAGTAATCTTCACATAAAATACATTTTTCACATTGAAAAACATATACCGTATTTTTTGCCGTATAAGACGCTCCGGCATATAAGACACACCCAATTTTAAAGGAGGAAAATCTAGAAAAAAAAGATTCTGAACCAAATACTGTACTAAAATATTTTATATCAACTGTATAAAGTAAACAGCAGTTTAAGAACAATTTTATGTCAACCATGTAACATATTAAGAACAATCTTTACTCTCATTAACAGTCAGTAAAGAGTGAAAGTAACAAAAATCAGTCTGTAATGTTTTTATTCGAACCCCAAGAATTCCTCATCTTCGCTGCTATCAGAAATGAGGAAGGACAGATCCTCGCAGTCATTGTCATCACTTTCTTCCTCACTGGTGTCAAATAAGACGTCGTCTTCTGTTCCGTCCAAGGCATTACTAATGCCACACTTCTTGAAGGATTTTACAACAATGTCCTCCTTCACGGAGTCCCGTGACCTTTTGACCCATTCACACACTTGTGTGATAGTGGGCCTCTTCATCTGCCCAGTAGGTGTCAGATCATGGTTCCCAGCTGCCATCCAGGTGTTCCACTCCTCACGCATCAGAACTTTGAATGGCTTGTTAATGGAAACGTCCAGAGGTTGCAGCTGGCTAGTGAGGCCACCAGGAATCACAGCTATTTGGGTTTTAACTTCCTTAAAGTTCTTTTTAGTATTTTCCGTAATGTGCGCTCTAAACTGGTCAAGCACCAACAAGGAAGATTTCCTCAGAAGACCGCCAGGACGTTTGGACCACACTTTGTCAATCCACAGCCTCATGCCATTTTCGTCCATCCACCCTTTATCGTGAACATGCACGACGACTCCCCGTGGGATTGTTTCTTTTGGGAACGTTTTCCTTTTAAAAATCAACATCGGAGGCAGTTTGGTACCATCGGCACAGCAGGACAGCACAACCGTGTAGTGGGTTTTCTCATGCCCTGAGGTTTTTACGGTTATGGTTTTTGCTCCTTTGTTATCACACACTGCATAAGGAAAGGACTGCGAGTAAGCGCCACACAAAGTTGGGGGCAGTTTTAATGCATGTAAAATGTGTATTTGCCGTATAAGACGCACCAACTTTTCCCCCCCAGTTTTGGAGAAGAAAAAGTGCGTCTTATACGGCGAAAAATACGGTAATAAAAACAAACATTAACTTGAACTTAAATTTCTTACAATTAACAAACAAATCAAAAAAATTTATTATCATTTCTCAAGTAAAGTTATAAAAATACCTAGAGAGCTGGATACACCATCAAGTTGACGTTTAGCACTATGAGTTCTGATATGCTTAGTCAAATGGTCACTCCTCATAAACCTTTTTGTACATTCTGGGCATTGAAATTTCTTTTCTCCTGTATATTAAATAATATAAAATAAATACACATGTTGAAATATGTACATTCTTTTCATAGTTCAATGTTTTTAGAGCATTACAGCACTGTAAAAAAAATCATTCATTTATATGTTATAAAAAATTATAATTTTCATTCACCTTTTCTAGCAACTGAAAATCTTTGGAGTATGTATACTGTACATATGTATGAGCAAAGGGTAAAAAAAAAATGTCTGTATTGATATTATTTTTTTTATTTAATTCAACTGGCAATTGATAGAAGAGGGCAAGTTATTGTGTGAAGGGATGTGTAATGTCAAATTTACAAAGATCATTTTCTTGGCTGTGAGCTTAGACAAAATAGTAAATAACTATTAGAGAAATTATAATATTTTCTTATTAATTGGTGATAACAGACATTAGTTTTTACCAAAGTTTTTAAATTAAAAAGATGTACACACTTGTGCCAGTGAAACCTATTTTTTAAAATTGATAAATAGGTTGCAAGCATAACCTCGCATGTAATTATAACAACAACCAAAATTAAAAAAAAAAAATAATAAGGTTCTTAGGACATACTAATATAGAATATATATATGTTATAGTAAATATTCCAACACAATGTTAACCTCCTATTGTTACATAGTTAGGTAGATAAACCAACTAAATGATATTTTCAATCATTATAGTTGACAGGAGTAGCAGCTACTGCTTAGCAATAAAAGTTGCCAGAGGGTGTTGATTTTAGGTTGTTTCATCGACAAATGCAATGCAATTTTAAAATTCCCTATTTTTTCTTTTACTAATGCTAAACTAAGGAACATGAGCTAAAGTGATAGTGAGGTTATTTTACATGTTTTATTTTGTATTTTCTGCAAGTTGGATTTTTATGATTTTGTGAAAATGTTCGCTTGCTAGCCCCTAAAATGGAATAACATTTAGGCTATAATTGAAGAAGATTACAATGGGCATATTAGTTTCATTGACTACTGTATAATATTTAAAATGTATATGATTTTT